TGCTGTGACTGGTTGAAAATAGTTTCACTGGAGAAATGCTCTTTTATTACTTACAACATTTCCAACTATGGACTAAGACTTAGCTGTACTAAAATTCTAGATGCACTCAAGAAAAGCAGTTGTGGTGGGATCTTATTAACTGGCTAACTCTGTTGTAGCGTTTGGCTACCAAATGCACTGTTACACATATGACTAATAAGCAGATCCAGTAAATTCTCTCTTTCTCTCCAAGCCAGAAATGTTTAAATGTGTTTCAGGAAGGTAATTTGTTCGGTCTGTAAAGGGATTCAAGAACAGTTCATTTGTCGATTCCTGATAAACTCAGTCCTTGTAACTCTGTTGACTGGCTCTGGCAGGTAACATTACACACTCTTCCTTATTCTTGAAAATTAATGTTACAGTCACGTATTGCTAAAGGTAAAGGCACACTGCTGAACTAAGCCTGAAAGCCATTCTCTTGCATTGTCTTTCCCATGCCAGAGAAGAGGAGCTCTACAAATTCATGGAATGAAGGAAACCTATTGGAACCTGTTATCAAGCAGCAGAAAGAAATGGAGTAGAAGTCCCAAAATATATGTTTTCACAGACCTGCTCAAGGATGGGACCAGCCAGGAAATCTAATATTTGGCTTAAAAGCCTCTTTTAGTGTCAGCGAATTAGACTTTATTCTTTGGTGGTAACATGATACTGAGGGTAGGGAATTATCCATTCAATGATGCACTACTACACAATTTATTTTGATGTGTCCTTAGTAAAGGGTAATCCAAAATGCTTTAAAGGGAGAGATAACCATGAGCTAAAGAGAAATGGAAGGTTTTTAAAGCAGATCTAAGCTAGACAAGTTAGCATGGCCTTGTTAACATTGTAACTATAAGCAAGTCAAAGAACCATGTAACAGCACAACTGTCCCTTGGTACAGTTAGAGTGTGGTTGAAATCTGCTGGACATATGGGATTAAATCATGTGCCCTAAAGTGGGTTAAAACCCCAGAGACATGGGTTCACATCCATCTATGCTATGGTTTTGTGAAAACATCACCTACTTAAATGACTGTTGTAGTATAGATGGAGTCATTGATTCAGTAGGAGTCGGATTAATAGAGAAGTAAAAGAGAAAGAGTAATATTTCTTTCCTCCACTGACTTCATAGATTTCATAGACATTAGAGCTA